CGATTTGTATTGTTTACATATTATTCTTCATTCTCATTAAGCTATTCTCATGAACTTCAATCTTTTTCCGGAAACCAGACCGAATGAAATCCTTTGATACTTTTATTCACATATTATTTCATTGTAGTTAGCTTATGTTTGTTTATTCAAATAAAAGAGAGTCAAATATTTCTACTTAACAGTTGGATGTAAATATATTTGTTTGTAAATAACGTTATCTTAGGAATAGAGTTGCTTAGTTAACAGCTTATTTCCTAGGTGATAATGAACAAACAATCAACACATCATAACACAATCGATGAAATAATACATGGGATAAATTGAAACGAAAGATTGATTCTTCTAGCATGATTGTAATATTTTCTAATTAAATTCTCATTATATAAACAATAGGTAAACAATCATCATAATTCGTTTTCCCAACAGACTTGGAATGTTAGATACTTTAGGTTGTACATTGTAGAATATTTACTGAAACGTAAAAATAAATCAAAACTCCAAGATTTGGTGCGATTTCATATGATCTTCTTATTTTGATAACTTTCATAGCCGTTAAAAATGTAATGTCACCAAGTAACAGTAGCGTTTGAAGTAAGGATCTTAGGTCCTAGTTTAATCATAAATATCAGTAGTGTAAATTAGCTGATGAGCAACAAAAGGAAAGAATTGCTTGTTTTAACTTCTACTACTAATCACTATCTAGAAAACCTAACTGTTGGAGAGATCCAGAAAACTCCTCAAAAACATCCAAAAAGTCTCTGAAAGTGCTGAGAAGCATCCTGTCCAATCAGTAATAAATAGAAATTTTGCTAAAAACATCTAAAAAGTGAAAGGTCACATGTTTAATTCCTGACTGGATAATTTCCCATATTGTAGCGTTCTAGAATTTTCCGGAAACACAAGGCCATCTGAATTACTATAAAAAATCCTAGATTTTCTGCACATAAATGAACCTTTGGAGTAAAGCAGATCTTTCGTATTTCGCGCCTTTTCTCTTGTATTCAAGTCGCTGTGTAGATTTAACCTGATGGTTACTAGAAGAGTTTAGGAACCGAATCTAGAAGACTTATTACTAACAAAGGTAAAATAACAGGCATATTCACCAACAGAAACTGATCAAATCTGTTCTTGAATATCAAAAAAAGAAAAAACTCCAGTCCTCACAAATAATAATCATAGATTAACTTGTGAATTAAATGCAAATAATCACTAGAATTGATAGACATTTCAAGGTGGCTAGTCATGACAAAGTTTCTCAGAGTTAGTTATTATGGGTCAATAATCACAATGAAATAGAATAAGACCCATATTGCCTTGATTGGTCTAAAATTTTCGTATAAATATTCATGTATATTAGAGTAAAGCCTGATGACGATCTAATTGAAAACAATTGTTCGCTTATATGTGTTGTTCTAATTTTCACAATGGGAATCTTTAATATTTTTAAGGAAAGATGGATAGTGGCTAGCAATGGAATCCATGACGCGCGTTTCGTCCTAAGTGGACAACGCGATAGCGTTTGAAGCAAACAGTACTAGGTTCGAGTCCCGGAGTGAACATCAACTCTGAGATGCTGGTACATCCATCTGGCGAGTCCCAAATAAGACGAAACACACGTCCTGGATTCCACTGCTAGCCACTATCCACCATTGCTTGACGTACTTGTCGTTTGTACTTTTTTTTCTATGCTTTTTATATTTTTTTACTAATCGTTTGTTTATAATTTTATTATTGCACATAATTATTATTTCATTACCGATTAATTCCAGTCTTTGATTGTTCGTGTGAAATATCAGTTACTTTGACTGAATGAACATTTTATGTTAATGATAGATCAGATTTCATCTTTCTTTCTCCACAGGTTCTGTCAATTAGCTAATCTACCCTAGGTTATTTAAATCGACCTAGAATATGATGATATTGTCCAATCATATAGAACATACTGTTTACCATTGGTTTTCATTTTTCTACTTATGCATTAGTACATATTTGTAAATAAAATACAGTTGATTTGCAACTATAGCAAGTTATTTTTACAGAAAAACAAAACATCGTTTAAATAAAATAAAAGGTTAATAATACATTTATTTTTAGAATGAACTGACCCTATTTGACTTTTTACAAAGCATTAATAGGTGTTTACCAACTGTTGAAATCTGGATAAAGTGAGTGACAAATTTCAAAATTCAACCTCCAATAATTAGCTTATTGTTCGATATTCCAACCGGTTTCGAAATGTCTTTAGTTTCACAGAATAATCATTTGAGTTTTATACTTTACTGTTATATGTATTGACTAGATGGAAATGACAAATTAAACCTTTCTGAATTTTGTTTGGAGCAGATAACTGTAATATCAATAGATTTATCATTACGTTACTCGTGCTAAAAATGTTCACCTTTTTACTAACGTTCATGACTTATTGTTCTATTTCTAAATGTTATCACTTATATCACCACAAAAATTAATTTATCTTGGTTGGAAAGGCGAAGTGAACGAAGCAAAATGACGAGCAGTGGAGGCTTGTGAGCCGACTCCACTTGATCAGGCGTTAATCAATATTTATAGCCATATAAAAAGTAAGTTACAAACATGTGATGAATAGGATAAAAAGTGTAGACACATACACTCATATAAAAACAGACAGGATTGATAAGTGAATAATTAACAAGGTCAAAACGTGACTTAAAAACAACGGATAAACTGGCCTGTTCAGAAGCTAGAATAAGGGCTTCTTCAACATTAATAACTGTGCAAATTAAAGATAACATTAAGCTTTCCATATCTTCATTCAGCTGGATAAAATTATCAGTTAGAAATCTATAGATAAACAAGGTTATATTTAAGATATTTTGTTTTGTCTATAGGTGAACAGAGCCAAAAATTCAAATAATGTCTACTGAACTAAAAACGATAACATATCCCACTTGTTTTTATTATTACATTTTACACTGTTTATAGATTTGTTACTATGACTAAAAATTTATTGTGTATATTAAATATTCAATATAAATAAGTGATCAGGAAAGAAATTGTCTCCTCGGAAAGCATGTAAGTGTAACACTTGCATGCCTCTACATAGCTTAGCATAGTTATATTTTATAAAATAACCGAGATCGAACCTGTACGCTACAAAATAACACATTATGTTGATATTTCAACGATACTCTGTGAGGAAACTTAGATGACAAGACATTCACGCAATTAGTTTTAACAATTATAAAGTATTAATATTTGAAATCCCTCTCTAAAAAATTATGTTCAGTGATGTTTTAGAGGATTATAACTTATCACTCCATTAATTTCCCATGTTATTTCGTGAAAACCAAAGTAAATAAATATGAAAAACGAAAGTTTTCATTGTGATAAAAATATATTAGACGCTTTTATCAAAACATGAAAGAGAATAAACTAGTGGTTTAGTTGACTTCACCACTTTATATTTATCATAGAATTTTACAACTTAACAGAAATTTATTTAATCATGAATCAGAAAGGGGGTTTGTGGATATTATAGTAATTTCAATAGTTGAGATCATGAATCGATTGAAGCTAGACCACCATGGAAAACCTGGAAGTACTGGACTGCGTTTCGTTCTAGTATGGGCTGTTCAGTGCTTACAGATTTCTCATGATGATCTAGCTTCAATTAACTCATGATCTCAACTATTGAAATTACTATAATATCCACAAACCCCCTCTCTGATTTATTATTAACCAGTTGGTTAAGCGCCTGGCGCGAGGCTGATAGGTCCTGGGTTCGAATCTCGCGGCGGGGTGCAGGATCGTGGATGCGCACTGCTGAGGAGTCCCATAATAGGACGAAACGGCCGTCCAATGCTTCCAGGTTTTCCATGGTGGTCTAGCTTCAATTGACTCATGGTTTCAACTATTGACATTTTTAAAATCATCACAAAACCCCTTCTGATATTTTCAATTTCCCAACACTAATTGATGTACAGTGTCTTTTGTCAAAGATCTAGAATAAGGTGAGATTTAAAAATAGTCAAAAGTCACTATTAGTCAACGTATTTCATCCTGAGAGTAAATAATAACCTGTTTCATGTGTTATTAGGATACTTCAGCAGTGAATATTTCAAGTTTGTACTTTGCTTCGTTACAATAATTTACATTTTTTTAAAAATCCTCAATCAAATAGATCAAGAACTATCATTATAAAATCTATTGGAATTATTAAACCACCAGCAAATTTGTCATTTAACTTTTTAGGTGGAAACCATAACTTAGGATGTATAAAATTTATTTATGTCATTAATTTAGTATATATATAATCTAAGAATCTTGGTAATCCAATCTTGTTTGTAACATAATAATGACGTAAGAAGTAATGACATTGTTCAACGTCACAGCATGCCATTTATCTTGATAATGTTTTTGATACTTATCATATCATTTTGATAAAGAACTGAACATAGAGTTTTTCATGTGGTTTTTGCAAAATAAAATAGTTTTTTTCTTACATTTCTACCAAGAAAAACGTTTATTATTTTAGTAGTGAGTTTATTTCCTTTCATGAAGCAAACAACACATACGAGATACTTTTTCCCAAAATTGTTAGACAAGACAATATTAATCACTATGGCATATTACTGACAACTGAATAAATGGAAACGTATTGTAGATGAATGAATAAAATAATTTTAAAGAAACTAATTGTTACTGCTTTTCAATGGAATGTTGATGAAGTTTAGGTATGTTTCTGTGATCAATGACACGATCGATGACATTATTACATTAATGATTAACGAGTTCTGCTTCATAAGACAAACACATTTAATTATTTAAATATATCCTTAAAAAGAATCATTTCTGATTACTCAGGAGGTCTCTTAATTTAAATTGAAAAATAGACGACACTTGTTAAAATGAAGTGAGATGTAAGTTGCTGAATAATTATGACATTCAAAATTGTACAGTTCAAAGAATGCTGCACTGGATTCTTTAACTGAATTACATTAAAAGCGTAGTATTTATGATCATCATTCAATACGTAACCACTGGTATATACGAGTTCCATTACGCGAACCTGCGTCATTCCAAAATGAAAAGCCTTGACTAGAATGGCATGAAGGTGGCCTGTTAAAATCTTTAATTGAATCACTCTGGAAGCCATAATCACCAAAATGGCATTCACCAATAGCATTTAATACACGTGTACTAGTAATTGACATTTGTTTAAGTTGATTCAAGCATTCATAAGGTATTAAATCTGAAATCGGTAGTTTACCTTTTACGTATATCGTTATACCATGTTTAACTGCTAAATGTCTACCAACAGATTTTTTTACTGTAGGTAGACTAAAGTGAACAAAACAATCAACGAGTGTGAAGTTGTTAGATTTTGTCTCAGTAGTTTTTGCTTCGCATAGCTTGTTTTCTGTTGATTTGTCTACATCTGTTTCATAATGTTTTGAAGTTCTTCGAGAAGGATGATGGATTGTTGTTGCCTTGATTGACTTAATTATATGGCCAGCATTAATCAAACAGCTATATACTGTCATTTCATCTATGAACAAAACGGAATGGCATAATTAAAATATTTATGGTTGAAGATTTTAGGGAACTTACCTAAAATGTGTATTATAATGAAACGTTCATTCTGAGCAAGTAAATATGAAACAGAAGAGATTTGTGGAGATTTTAGAAATTTCACTGATCGAAATCATGAGTCAGTTGAAGCTAAACCACCATGGAAAACCTGGAAGCATTCGACAGCCGTTTCGTCCTAGTATGGGATTCATCAGCAGTGCGCATCCACGATCCCGCCACCCACGAGATTCGAAACCAGGAACTCTCAGTCTCGCGCCAAGCTCTTAACCGACTAGGCCACTGAGCCGGCCGGCATCAAACAGTGTTAATGTCTAACTCCAACCAACCCACTAAGTTGCGCCACCGTACACCACTGTTATCAGTGAGTTGATATCGCACAACAGACCTGGTTGAACTCCACTAGTAACGGCTTCGAATCTCGCGGAGTGCGGGATCGTGGATGCGCACTGCTGAGGAGTCCCATACTAGAACGAAACAGCCGTCTAGTGCTTCCAGATTTTCCATGGTGGTCTAGCTTCAATTGACTCATAATTTCAATTTGTGAAATATGGAACTGTTCAAACTATAGAATTAACAAAATATCATTCGTGCATATTTATTATTATTGTCATTTTTCTGGAACTCATGAGTTATACTTTTTAAAATTTGGTTGATCACTTCTAAGTATTTGGCTATGAAATATAGAATTATATGTGTGGTGAGAATATTAGAAACAGATAATTGATTCCTAGAAAATATGTTTGTTTTTCATAATTACAATTGCCCAATCTTCAAGTCTGACTAAGCATCCTTTTAACCAGAAACATTTTTATGATTTTCAGAGAATGAAAAATAACAAACACCATAGTTATTCGATAGATAATTTTCTTCAAATCAAAATCTAAATACCATTTATTTAACCTAATGTCTTTATTTACATTATTTTAACTTCTGGTGTTTTTATATTCAAATCATTTTCAAATAACCTACTATTTGAAAAGTGTACAAAGATTGGTAATCTTATTGACATAAAGCAACACAGAGGTTGTTTGTGCACTACGTCAAAGCTTATCTATTTATCAAAACATTATTGATTCGTTAAGATATTTATCTAGTTTCTGAAGTGTCAAGGATGAAGGTAAACAAACAATCGAAATCAGTGAGATTCTTATCTCTAACTACTCTTTTTATTAGAAGCTTATATAATATCTTCAGTCATTTAGACACTATGATTAAATGACAGTTCGCATAGGGACAATTAATTTGAAAACAGTACTGGGAAATTAAGTAAATAGGATGTTTGTAACAACTTCACTGGAATTACATGTGAATGTATTTCCTAATCACATGAGTTTCTTTCAACATTCTTTTCATCATGTATGTGTTGACTTTGAGAGTACTGTGCACAGAAAACAACTTACGTAATAAATGTATTATAATGTCCATTGTTGTTAGTACATGCAGAACTAACTCAACGACTCACATTAAACGTCTCTATGTATATTCTATCGGAGTAAGTGTTTGGATTCAAACATATAGAAAAAAAAACTAAACGAAAAGCAGTTAATGGTGGTAGATTTTTACCATAGCTCTTTACTGATAAGTATGAGTTACGATTAATAATAAAGGTATAATAAATTAACTAAAATGCTTATTAGTTTACAGTTATTAATGGGATAAGTAATGATTGACCATGATGTAATACACTGATAAATGTTAGCAGAGTGATTGTGACATATGAAGACATTATTTAGTAAATAATTTGAAATATGTTATTGTTGAACTTATCAAAAATCTTTATACCTACCTTCCTTCACTCTTGGATAACGTCCTTGATCACTTATGATTATGTTCACGAAATAATCTTAAATTTAAAATACTGTAAACTCACGCGCTACTGACTAATTGACATTGAGTTGATGATTAGCTGTAATGATCATTAGTAAGTGCACTTGTTAATTAGGTTCCAAAATTATCGTAGTTACAGTTTACAGTTCAAATCTTAAGTTTTGTTTTGTCATCCTAATATCGATTACTGAAGAAAATCGATTTATGTTCTATTTATTTATTTCTGATAAGGTTCTGGTAAACACAGCGTAGGTATTAGGTGATAAATTAGAACATGAAATACTCGGGAGTGAATAATGATCGACTAATTCTCAGAGTATTGTTTTTAATTATTTCTAATAAATCTTACGTGACTAGGCTTACATATCAGCAATTCTATTGTATATAGTTTTACACAATCCACTAACTGTAATTCAGTGTTATAAATTTTTATTATTATAAAGTTACTGAGCAGTATGTGTAATAGAATATTTAAGGTATCGTATAAAGTTTTATAATAAAGAAACAGTTCATTTAAAGTACACATCAGTCTTCTCTTTGACTACAGCAAGGTCTTCTAATGCTTTGACGACTAACTTTGAAGTTAGATAATCAGGAGAATCATTTCCTTTATTTACGCTTTTCTGTTGCATTGTAAGTCATATTATTACTACCAAAGTAAAATTCTCAAAGCTATGATGATTTGACAGATATTAGTATACAGAGATGAGAATTATTGATTCATTCTCCAAACCATTAATTTGATATTCGGAACCACTCAAGTTTGATATTTTATGACGATAAATATCAGAATAAGTGCACATCATTGCGACAACGCATTTTCAGTCCAACTAGTGTCGCATTTTATTCAAGAAGACTTATATTAGGTTTAATAATGAATCTATGAATTAATTATTTACAAGACAAACTATATATATATGTATATATAATGAATTTTATAATTACTTACAAGCTCTGCTATTTAACGCATCGTTCAAGTTTTCAATTCTCCATCTTCCATATGAAAGAAATTGTAAATTTCTTATTTCATGTATTCGAATATTAACAAATCCTTTGCTTTGATTACGACATATTGAAATTAACATATCACCTGATAAACGTATTGCCTATAAAGTGTTACAAATATGATTGAATTATGCATGGTGACAAGTGAAATTATGGTGTTTTTTTAAAAGTGATACACAAATAAATAAAAATTTAGGATATCTATTACATTGTATACAATTAATAGCAACTTCTAAGCTCGTTTTTGCTTCTGTGAGACGTGCATTAAACTTCAGAAACTCATCGAGTGTCTTAAATGCAACAGGGTCCTCACGCGATTTTAGAATATTAAAGATTCCCATTGTGAAAATTAGAACAACACATATAAGCTTATATGTGTTGTTCTAATTTTCACAATGGGAATCTTTATTATTCTAAAATAGAAATTTACAAAAGTAATGAATTGATAAGGTGAGAGGTGAAACTTTTTAACTAGAAATCATTATAATGTGTTTATAAACTTTGTCTGAATAATAACTATGTCATTTAAATCCGAACAAATATTCTGTGCTTTTACATTCAAGCTCCCTACCTTATAATAATCACAAGCCTATTGTATTTATTTACTTAGAAAAGTTCTCTTGCATAGATTGTAATTCTTTTCGGATTTATTTTTGTTAGTATGTATGCATCTATGTATCTTATACACTGTTGTTTGATGATAGAAGCTGAGTCAATCTTAATTCAGAAACCTTGGTTGTGTGCTAATTTACATATTTGCGCACCAGGCGCACCGGACACATGAAACCTCATTTATTCTGTACAAATTGCAGATTCCGGTGTTTCGAATTCACGTTATTATATTCATGATAAAAATCAAATGTGCGATATAGCAGTATATGCTAGTTTCAATAATTGATATTAAAAATATCATGATCATTCAGAAGGTTTTTCCAACTACAAAGAGAGGTGAGTAGCCGAAGCGTTCCACATAATGCTAAATCCCTCTGCCCTCAATAAGAAAGAAGGCCTGAATATTCATCCAAAGTGGGCAATTTATCCAAACAACGATATCTGACGTTATTTGTTTTCAACACAATCTACACATACACACCTAATTTCAACCCCACTATTTGATTTTACGAATGCATACATTTTCTCATACCCACACTCTGACATACAAATTAATACAGTAACAGGTCATACAAAATCACCTTGACCAAGAATAACTTGACATTGACATATTCAGACCTATTATGATTTTGATTGTACCAAAAATATTCTACATTGTTTCCTTTCTACTACTACTATTCAAACTTGTGTTAATTTCATTTCTGTTATTTATTTATTCTGAGCTGGTCGGCATCCAGCGGTGTTAATGTGTAACTCTGACTAATCCACGAAATCGAGCGACACACCCACCATTGACATGAGTGATCTAGTGGTTAGGCGCTCGTGCGCGAGACTGATAGGTCCTGGGTTCGAATCCTGCGAGGGGGGTAGTGGAGTTGAACCGCTGAGGAGTCCCGCAATAGGGCGAAATGGCCGTCCAGTACTTACAGGTTTTCCGTAGTGGTCTTGCTTCAAATGACTCTTGATCTCGACTACTGAAATTTCTAACTTCCTTTACAATTTCCGATCAAATCAGATTTTTGATATTCATCAGTTAATGGTGAAGCATCCACAGTAGCAGATATGTTTAGTATTTAACATTATTGACTAGTTAATTCCCACGTTGTATGTGTAATAACAAATAATTAAAATTTTTTTATCAGAAATAAGCAAATTTCACCATTTCATGTCAAAGGCATTTGTACATGAAATAGCTTTGATCTATCTGCTTATCTGTTAGTGAGTCCAACAAAATGTTAGATTTGTATATCTTGAATATCTTTATGTTGTGATTGTGAATAAGTTATTTAAGATTCGCTCAAAACTTTTCAGATTGATTAGATAGTGTGATCTTCTTTTCCGTTTTGAATGCTGCATATTTTAGAAATACATGAAGTTCTTCAACTATTCATTTTCCTTCAATATTAAAAGGACCTTTTTGAATTATTTATACTTTCCAAAATCAAATGGATCCATGTTGATAAAGTAGTTTCTATTGTTTCAAACCATGTTGATATGAATCATATTTCTTTTTCGATATGAAGTTTGAATCACAAAACTCGTTGGTGTTTTTATGAATGGTCAATATTGTTTTGTTGTTGTATTCTCAATAATTCTTCTAATAGAAAAAGCCAGTATTCATCCATGAGATTTCTTTTAAGAATTTTTAGATTAATAAATGACTGATACTTATTTACGCCTGTTACCCCCAATGGAGCATAGGCCGCCGAACAACATTCTACAACACATTCTGTCCTGGGCCTTCCTTTCCAGTTCTATCCAATTTTTATTCACCTTTCTCATGTCTGTCTCCATTTCCCGGCGTAACGCATTCTTTTGTCTCCCACTTCTCCTTTGGCCTTGGGGATTCCAAGTGAGGGCTTGTCTTGTGACACAGTTGGGTGCTTTCCTCAATGTGTGTCCTATCTACTTCTAGCGCTTCTTCCTGATTTCTTCCTCCGCTAGGATCTGGTTTGTTCTCTCTCACAGTAGGTTGTTGCTGATATTGTCTGTCCAACGGATCCGAAGTATTTTGCTTAGACAAATGTTAATAAACACTTGTATCTTCTAGATGACAGATTTCGTAGTTCTCCAGGTTTCTGCCCCATACAGTAGAACTGTCTTGACATTTGTATTGAAAATCCTGACCTTGGTGTTGGTTGATAATTGCTTTGAGTTCCAGATGTTCCTCAGTTGTAAATCTGCTGCTCTTGCTTTACCGATCCGCGCTTTCATATCTGCATCAGACCCACCTTGTTCATCAATGATGCTGCCCAAATACGTAAAGGTTTTTACATCTTCCAAATCTTCTCCATCAAGTGTGATTTGATTGGCACATTCTGTGTTGTATCGGAGAATCTTACTTTTCCGTTTGTGTATGTTGAGACCTACTGCTGCTGAGGCTGCTGCTACACTGGCCGTCTTCACCTGCATTTGTTGTTGAGTGTGTGATAGAAGAGCCAGATCATCCGCGAAGTCTAGATCGTCCAGCTTCATCTTAGCTGTCCACTGTATCCCATGCTTTCCCTCAGATGTTGATGTCTTCATGATCAAGTCGATCACTAGGAGAAAGGGGAAGGGTGAAAGTAAGCAACCTTGCCTGACGCCGGTCTTTACCTCGAACGAGTCTGTCAACTGTCATCCATGCACAATTTTGAAGTTTATTCCATCATAATAAATGACTGCTCTTCATATTTATATGAAAATTATGAAACTGCAATGTAATTAAATCATTTCATTTCTTTTATTTATCTATAATTGTAACAAATAAAGTATCACCTTACAAAACAATTAAATTCACTAAACAATTGTTTACTAAACTTATGTGGTAATTTGAAGTTTGTATACCAATGTCTACTAGGTTAAAATTGATACTAGATTGAATGATCCAGTTAGATTTTAAGTACTTTCTCTGTTTAATACATAGAGGTTGTTTTCGAAGTATCAGTCAACCATCAAACAAAATTTTATCAAGATTATCAAATATATAGTAGATAAACAAAGTTAGTTCAAATAATGTTAATCAGTGATGACTGAAATTGTTACAATTTCTTCAACATAAAACAAACTATATGTCATAATTGTTTTTAGGTATTTACGTACAATTATTTGTTTAATGTGAATTATAGAAAAATCTTTACGACGGTTTACCATAATCATAGGTAAATTGTACACTTGTTTTGTTTATTGATTAATCGGTTGAGTTTAGCTATTACTTGACCCTAATTTAAAGTATTTTCATAAACCTAAAATTGTTAGATTCACTTGGTATTGTTTGGTTTGTATCTTCCCATTGAGGTTTAAGACTGCAATTGATCAGTCTGTTATCGGCATATGTGCATACTGTGCGTATGCCTCGATATTGCCTTAATTCACAAACCTTTTGTAAGCAAAGATGGATAGTCTAGCAGTGAAATCTAGGACGTGCGTTTCGTCCTATTTGGGACTCGTCAGCCGGATGGACCTGCATCTAACAGTTGATGTTTACTCCGGGACTCGAACCTAGCACTGTTTGCTTCAAACGCCATCGCGTTATCCACTTAGGACGAAACGCGCGTCTTGGATTCCACTGCTAGCCACTTTCTATCATTGCTTACAAAAAGCTTGTGAATTAACTTAAAATGTTAGTCTTGAATGCAACTGTGAAAAATCATTATTGTAAATAACAACAGTAGAATTAAAAATAGTTGAAATATCATTCTAATATTTTATTTTACATACAAAAGACTCATCAGATGTTGAAAAGATGTCTACCTGGTGACATATACCACAATACTCAATAGTTCAAAATATATAAAACAAAAAAATGGAAATTTTCAATATCCAATGATTAGTATAATAATGAATTGAATAAGCAAACAAAAATATCTCAATATAATGGCATTGACAGAAATAATCATTTGAAATGTTAGAACAATACTATTCAGTAAAATGGTTGAATGAGTTAGTTATTATTTTGAAATGGTAGAGAAGATTTGTAGCTCAGGTGGATGATTTGATCACGACCAAACCATCCAGCTTAAAGAAAAAACTCCATCAAAAAGCTATCATTTTATTACAATTTAATTAACATGCTACAATAATAAAAATTACTTCATATTTACAAATGTGGATTCTATAACTTTCTCAGTTTGTGAATATATTGACAGTAGATATCTGTTAATTATCAATCAAGAAACATTACAGTTACTTAGGGATAAATTATACTTTATAAGATGAATAGTTATAATAAAGCTCTATCGTTATTTCTTTGACCAAACGATCTAATACCGAAAACCATAACTGAAGTGAAACAAATTCTATCAATTATCATTAATATTGCTTTGATCATTAATAAATTTTCTTTAGAAATCTAGAGTTGTCAAAAGAAGTGTTAATAAAATCATCAAGTTATTGAATAAGAAAAAGATAATTCAGCGAAGAAAAGTTTTCTTTTCGACGAAATCATTTACTTAAGCTGTACATTCGTATATATATAGTAATATGGAAAATATATATGTTTATAGGAGGACAGAAAAGATTGCATCACAAAAATGAATTCGAGAATAAATAACAAGTGAGGTTACGTACTAATCAAGGGGTAAGGAAGAAGATAATTTATCGTTGAATAAAACATTTTACGCAGCTAAACTCCGAATTGTTTTCGCTAGCCGACCTACCATTTGGGGATGTGTTAAGGATAAACTTCCGCTTTGGGCCACATCAATGTGTATTTATAAATTTACTTGCTCGTGTGGAGCACGTTACATAGGCTGCACAAATCCATCGCCGTCCAAACGCATCTCGAAACACTATCGGGCTTGGCTTTTAAGAGGAGAATGCAAAACAATTACTAGTTCGATACAGGAGCATTTAATTAACTGTTGACACATCGCTCCAAACGACTCTTCTTTTAAAGTAATCTACAGAGTCAAAGGAACTGGATCGAAGGGGGAGGGCTTGGATCAATAGTTTATGCACTGCTGAGGCATTGGTAATCCATGAACTGAAGCCTGGACTTTGCGTGCAAAAACGATTTGTCCAACCTTTCATCCTTCCTTGGCCCTAATTCCTTTAATGGGTATGTTTCTGGGGTTTTGTTTTCTGCTTGTTTTTCTGCACTTTTACTTGAGTATTAGTGAATTTTTTAAATTACTGTTTTACATTTTAAACTCTAATGAGTTATTATTATTGCTACCTTATGCAAGTTTTCCTGCATATTATTCAGTCGCTTTTCTTCATATCTGTCGATTAGACCCATGAATTATTTTCTTCCTTACTCCTTGACTAGTACGTAACCTCACTTGTTATTTATTCTCGAATTCATTTTTGTGATGCAATCTTTTCTGTCCTCCTATAAACATATATATTTTCCATATTACTATATATATACGAATGTACAGCTTAAGTAAATGATTTCGTCGAAAAGAAAACTTTTCTTCGCTGAATTATCTTTTTCTTATTCAATGACATTATGGGTTATTTTAATCATCAAATTATTATCACTTCATTTATATTAATAGTTCAGTTTTACAACAAACTGTTTATGATTTTTTGCAAAATAAAACTATTTAAGACGATATAAACTGATAGGATCTTTTCATGGTTTAGGATTGATAACCGAATTTATATACTATAAAATAAATTAGATTAGTGTAGGGAAGTTCAAATAATGACTCGTATTGACAACGAACTTGTAAATCAGACAAAACAACTTCTAAAACTCAATTATTCAACGGATGGATGGAGCGCTTGTTAGCTATTGTTTGGTTGTTATCATTTCTAGTTTTCAATGCCAATTTCAAGGTATAATACAATATATTTATATTTCAATATAAAGTTTATATTTGCTCCTTATCGATACTTAAGTCTGTTTTGTTGATAATGATTAAAAGTTTTCTAATTAAGACATCAATCCGTCGGATATCTTGGTAGTTAGATCTTTCTGATAAAAATATATATAATTTTTTATTATTGAGATAAATTTATTCCTTGAAAATCTTCCTAAATTATTGTGTGCTTTCTACTTTAAAGTATTATTTAGTTAACTATGATCATTAAATATTTCAAACGTTTTACAGGTAAACCTAATCAATCTATACCAGAAATTATAATGTTGAACTGTCTACTAGTTCGTTAATAGTGATCATGAAGAAATCAGACCCGTTTTGTAAAGAAAATCAATAACTTACTGGATAAGCTTCTTCAACTAGACACCATCCGATGTGTTCAAATTCCTTTTGACCGTTCGAAAGTTCTTCTGTTGACATACTACAAGATCCGTGATAATATTCTTTATCACCAGACCACTTAGGAATGGATTCGAAAATTTTCAATTTTATATGTATTTTTGGTGCTTCAATATCATGTGCTCCAGATAAGATTGAACATCTTCTTACTGGTATATTCATTGAAATCTCATTATGATTTAAAAACTGTGGACAACCGAATTCGGTTTCTTTACTGTGAACAGTGAATGTTTGAGTAATTTCTTTATTAGATATAGTACAGTAAACACAAAAAATTGTTTTATGCCATAAGCGAGGAGATAGCAGATTTTTACCTGTGTGCAGTGTGACTAAGATGTGATCTTGATTACTACTAACATGTGAAGAATACTTTACACCAATAGCCATAATCCCAGCAGGGAATTTGATCCAGTCATAAGTGATAATAGGTGGAAGTCGTTTATACATAATTTTCTGTTTATCAGTATCCGTATCCAGTAATATAGACTCGTTTGTTTGCAGTCCACTGAAAAATGAAGATGAGCTTACTATCTTGTTTTGTATTTCAGCAGATGGATGAAAATGCTTATCATCATCAGTAGGTTCTTGATCCTCTTTGCCATTGACCTCGACAGCTGTAGAATAAGAGAGAAAGCTGTTTCGACGAGTAAACTTTTGGTCTTCTAAAAATAACCCTGGAGTACCCAATGTATGTATATCATCATTTTTTAAGGTTAATTTACCATCTAGCTCAGCATGAGTGTCAGTCACAGTTATGGATATCGGAGTATCTAACAATCTTTTAGATTTACCTAAACGACTATCGAGAAGCTCATAGTCCGTTGCTGAAGCTCTACGTGTAACTATGGGGACAGCAAGACATATATCCCCTTCATTCGGAGCACAGCACTTTGTATCATCAGTTGATACTGATGTTTTACGACTACTATTTCGATCGAAAGAAGATTGATTAGACAAAACTGAAAAATGTTGTGGAATATCCTGTGGTTCCAACTTCGAAGCTATTACTGACTTGATTAATTCAGAAGAATTTTTCTCACTACCGGCTAAATGAGAGTGATGGATAGAGAGGTTGCTTCTTAACAAGCTATTTGAATCCAACGGCTTAGAATATCTCCTCTGATCAGAAAATACAAAACTATCAAACATAGACTTCTTTCTAAACTGATTTTCTTGTGGGTGAAATGGTAAATTAATACAACTTCCTTTTCGACTTCTATCTTTGTGCAATACTGCTGTCGTTCCATATAGTTTTTCAGGTTGAAATCGTAAAGGTAATGATGGTTGTTCATAGGAATTTTCACTTTTTTTGTAAGCAAAAAATTTTGTATGTTTTAACGAAGTTTCACTATCATTTACAGAGTTTATTGCAAGCGCTTCGACAGCAAAACAGAAATAATGTAACATATAATCTTTCATTTCTAATTTTGATCTATTTGATGAATCTAAACGTTTATGAATAGAACGTCTTCTTCGAAGAAACCATGCTGTATGTGTTAAAGCTGTCGCTAAAAGTATCAACACAATGGAACATAGTAAAATTGCTCCAAGTACAAATAATACAATTTTAACTACTGAACTTTTAAACCAAACCATTTCTGTCATTTGATCATCATTTATTTGTACTGTATCGGTTGCTTCATTTAATGAATTCTGTGTAAGTGGCATACTTCATTTATTTAGATTTTGATTTATTATAATCATGAAACAAAAAGAAACGAACAGATTAATGGTTAATATATCGAAATTATTAGTTATTTATTTATTAATAGACAGTTATTTCATTACAAAATAAATATTGAATCAGAAGGGGTTTGTGGAGATTTTCGATTCTAATCTGTGAAATTTCTAAAATCTCCACAAACCCCTTCTGATAATAATCATCTGCTCACTAGTGACTGACTTCAAGAGATACCAGTGGAGTTCTAGTAAGAAGCCGTTACTAGTGGAGTTTAACCAGGTCTGTTGTGATATATCAACTCACTGATGACAGTGGTGTACAGTGGCGCAACTTCGTGGATTGGTTGGAGTTAGAAACTAACACTGTTTGATGCCGACCGGCTCAGTGGTCTAGTTGGTTAAGAGCTTGGCGCGAGACTGATAGCTCCTGGTTTCGAATCTCGCGGCGGGGTGCGGGATCGTGGATGCGCACTGCTGGGAAGTCCCATACTAGGACGAGACGGCCTTCCAGTGCTTCCAGGTTTTCCATGGTGGTTTAGCTTCAACTGACTCATGATTTCAATCTGTGAAATATGGAATCATAAATAATTTCATCTACACTTGAAATATAAAATCTGCTTTATACAGTCGTTAATATATAATTATCACCTGGTCGTTCTGAATTTATTTATTATCTTAGCTGATTATATTATACAAAAAAAGTTAACACGGAAAGCTGAATAATATAGTTTATGGAGAGAGGTAAATGAATTATATCATCTCATTACTTCAATAAAATATGGTTTTGTATAAATATTTACAATAGTCAAACATTTCACATTTTCTTTTTACTTAAAAAGTTATTATATATTAAAGTTTGAATACTATGTAAGGTAATTCTTATCATAAATCCAATATTTCCTACAAAATAATATAATATAATCAAAATAAAATATGAATGGAACTATAAAGATCGATTTCTATGAAATGGTGAAGATTTGTAGTTCAGGTGGATGATTTTGGTGGAGTTTTATTCACCGAGTTGGATGGTTTAATCATGGAGCTTTCATCATTATTCTGGACGATATCATTAACACGAACTACAGGTAGTAGTGTAGTGTTTGAATTTCTCCATATATGGCTCATAGCTTGTTATGTAGGCCTCCATTTTGATTGGATCTTGTTGACCTTTAATCTGTCATTGTTTACATCTTTTTGATTGTACCTCCCATTGATTTTATTTTTGATCCTAAAGGTCAATAGTAACCAATCAACATCGAGGTCTACAGAACAAGCTGTCAGCCATGTGTAGTGAAAATCAAACACTACACTACTACCTGAAATTTATGCTAATGATATCGTTCAGAATAACGATGAAAGATCCATGACCAAGTCATCCAACACAGAAAACAAAACTCCGCCAAGGCCAATTTCTATCTTTATTTGTTTAAAATTAATGAATAATTCATGCCATTTAAGGGTTTTGTTATATTCGCAATTCAAAAATCAATATCTAGTAAGTCCGTAAAAAGTTATTCCTAGTGTTTAATTTCTAAATAGAAACGTTATTTAAAATGTATTTCTCGTTTGCTTAAATATACTATAATTCACTTTCTTTGACTTTTATTTTGCTCCCTTATGAACTAGCTAATTTAATTAACTAATCAGTGATATTGTAGCTTCGAGATCTGCTTTGTATATTTTTATAATTTTCTTAAGTTTCTATCCACATGATTTTATGAAGTCGCATTACATCTCTCTCTCCTCTCTCTCTCTCTCTCTCTCTCTCTATATATATATATATATATATATATATATATAAACTAACAATGAATCGTATAAAGTAGTATTTATCTACCATATCGAAAGGATGGATCAATATAATCATCCCTTTTCCATGTAATATAACAGTTAGAAATAAATTGGTTATTTTAGACTGCAGAGTACTGCAGAGAACGTAATCAATACAGAACATGAATCAAATCAATAATATGACATGATAGATATACAAACTTTAATTCTGTTCTAGTCATCTCCACGGCTTTAATAAATAGAAATGGTACAAAAACAAATTGTGTTTATATTAAATAATATCAGAATTTAAAAGTATTTTGATTATGATTTGTTAAAAAAAATCAACTGTAGAACATAAAAAGTTTAGATCACAATAATATTAGATTTTAATCAGTTAATCACTGCTAATGGAAATGATATTTTAATTTATCTTTTATATTTCTATTATTTGTTAATTGTTTTTCAGTAGGTAGATTGTTATGGAAATTAAGACATCAATAAACTATGTGTTCAGTGAGGTCGCCAAATACCCTGGTACAGCCGAGGTTGGGGAGAGTCAGGTCTCCCTTTCGGAATGCTCTCACATGGCCACGCGTATACAGCCACTACCAGGGAAGTCCTACTTAATGTCTTCTTGCGGCGCGGTTGTTGTTTACTGAATTGAGAGAAAGAAAAGCCAATGTTTGGCGCTTTAACGGGTCAGAGGATACGGCGGGTCCAGCTATGAAGTTGGAAAACCCTGATCCCATACCAATGGTGGACATGGGCTCCAGGATCCTGGGGGAATAAATGGCGTATGAACCAATTATTGGTCACCGGCAACCATGAGACCATGAGATCAAACCTTTAGGTCGAAGGCTCCGGGTGTGACCCCCTAAGAAAACCATTTGCTTCGGTTTGGGCATCCGAGCAGTATCATAGCCCACAAACAAATGTAGTGACTTGTGTGGAGCATATGTATTCGGCGTCCCTTTGTACCAATATTTATGTGTTCAAATAAATAATAAAAGAAGTGATCAATGTGATCTAAGAACTCAGGCTACACAAATAAGCTGAAAATTCAAAGATATAGAATCTTTTGTTGTTATGGAAGTAATTTCTAACTGTTTTGGTTTACTAAATTATGTTTAGCCTATTAGTGGCACAGTCTCAAATTTTTCATATACTTAATTCCCTTGATAAATGTTTATAAAGTAAGAACAACGAATCCAGCGTGCTGAAGCGAATTTACTCAAATTTGAAACATTTTACGCGTAAATTAACAATAACAAGGAGTTTTGTTGATAATGATTACGTGTGAAAGACATGTAGTGATTCAGTTAACTGGTAAGAAGTAATAGCCTAAGTTAATTTTCTTGAGAAATCATGAAGTAATCGACTACAAAGAATTCTTATTAACATGGCGAATGAAGTGATGAATTAGATGGTTATTACGAAGTCAGTCTTGCTCAAATGATCAATAATGATAATAGTGAGGAAAGTACTAGTGACAAACAAAATTAAAAGTTTTAATAAAGTTGCTTTGTATACATTGTGAAATTTAACTCTTACTTGTTTCACAATTAGAGGCAGACATTAAAAGAAAGAATACCAATTGAAAAAAAATCAAAAGGATTGCTCAACACAGAGTTCGATGGAGAATCATGGTCGGCGGTCTATGTTCCTATAATGGATGACTGGTGTAAGTAAGTAAGTCAGTGTCACCGTTACTAGTTGTTATAAATTGTTGTTTTACCAATGTTAAGTTGTTAAATGTCTATTGATTTGAATTAAAAACGGAATGAGCATTTACAATCTGATGTTATAATATATTCTGTTCATCTATGTTTGTACTCTGAATGTCAAACGTATTTTAATAAAGATAATGGCTGGAACTGCTGAATGAAAGTAAGAGGAAAAAGTATTTTGCAAACGCTTAACACTGATACTGACTGGTTATATTTTGAAGTCATTCTGGTTTGTTAAACAATCAAAATTCGGAATCAATTAATAATGAATATAAATAGAAGATATTGCATAACTTTACTGATACGTAATGATAATTGAAAAATATGTTTAGTCACTTAAACATAATTTAAACAAACACTCGTTTTGGACATTATTCAAGAACATAACTGCCTTGAAGCAATAAGGTAAGCTAGATAATATGTATCTCGTACAGTAATAGGAGGTTATTAATCTGAGGAACCATTAGAAAAAGTAAAAAAAATAATAGGAAGATAATAAACAAGAAGAATTTCTTCAAAATTTATATAATACAATTATAATAAAGATAACAGTGTAGCAAAACCACTGAAAACTAGGTGATATTGAGTAGCATTCTGTTTAAGAGTTCTTATTAATCCGATTTGATTGGCTAATAAAATGTAACTCAGCTCATAGGTTCTAGGTATATCAGTAAAAACAGTATTTTTTGACTATTGAAATGTAATTCAACAGTTTGAGTTCAGATTTGCATTTAAATTGTGATATATTTCGATCTTGATTTTCCCATACCTACGAAATACTCCCATTTTTAACCTGGTTAATCATATTGTTAATTCCCGAGGTAGAACTTTGACAGAGATTTATGTTGAATTCAGCCTCTAATTAAGACGAATATTATTTTCATATAAATTATTTCCTATCGTGTCACTATATATATATTCACTAGTAACAAAAACGCCGAAATGTATAACACAATACTGACTATTTATTACCAACAATTCTCATCCATTCTAAGTTATTTCATAAGACGAATGTAGCGTTCTCGATTAGTTTAAAAATCAAATCAATCTGATTATGATAACAAGTAAATCAATAAAACGTTGAGCTGATATTTAAGTGAGGAAAACATAGTTACAATTTTCTTTCTTTTCATACACATAGTTCCTTTTATTATCTTAAAGAAGAGCAAGAACAAAGATTGTTGCAGAATAATATGAATTCATTTGATTTCGTCAGATCCTCATCAGCTGCTTACAAGCTAAAATATTTGAAAATCAACGTTATTACAGATATTGACATACTTATACATACGAAGATGATTAGAGATGAATGTGTGTATCATGATGTAATGAAGATTCCGATAGAATTAATAAGTTCATAAAAATCGTTTGTTTCGAATAAAGTTTGAGAGGAAAAGTTTCAGAACATTGAAGTAATAATGATCAGAACTCATGAAATTACCAAAAATGAGATGATCCAAAACAAATTTATTATGACCTCATTAACTCTATCAGAATCTTCACCACATCATGATATATATATTCATTTCTAATCATCCTCTTATATATAAGTATGCCAATATCTGTAATAACGTTGAATTTCAAATATTTTAGATTGTAAGCAACTGATGAGAATCTAACGAAATGAAATAAATTCATATTATTCTTTACCAATCTTTGTACTTGCTATTTTTTTTAGTTGGTTATATCTTTTATTTGTATCTGTTATTAAGTTCTTTTAATAAACTAATAAAGATTTCAGATCAAATAATAATAATAATAATAATAATAATTATTATTATTATTATTATTGGTATCATTACCAAGGTTTGATTTGATAATTCCGAATAAATTGAGCATTGGGTAGATTGTTATAAATAAGTAGTATATTTGTAATAACCCAATGAGTAGAAAAATTAGGTTTTCTGACGTTTCGTGACTTAGTTTAAGTCACTTCTTCAGAGAACAAATAACCAAATTAAAATTAATCCAAGTTTGAATAGTACAACGGAGCAATAAGAATATTATGATTAATTTTATTCTGGTTATTTATTCTCTGAAGAAGTGACTTACACTAAGTCACGAAATGTCAGAAAATTTAAGTTTTCTACTCATTGGTACATTACAAATATACTACTTATTTATATTATTATTATTGTTGAAAATTTTAATTATAATTGTCACTTACCTTTTCATATGAAATGATCACAATTTCTAACTAATATCTCAAAGCACTGAATACTAAATGGAATAGATTTAATTAAAGAATTCTCTACAAAAGTAGTTTTTTTATGGTTTTTTATGTCTCATCGAATGAGGATGAATAGGATTACTTCATTTTATTTCTTTTCTAAATTAATACAATGAAGGAATGGATTACGACATACTATTTTTTTACTATAATAATAATTATGATCAAAATATTTTGTTTTACATAATCAATGTCCTCGTATATGGTGAACTGACTATTTCAGACAACCAATCAGTAAATAGTAAACTAAGCAAATTCTAAAGCAATAGATAACTGTTAATACAATCATATTTACTATTGCGTGTCCGTACTTACTTACTCACAGATTCGTCCATTTTTCCATCGGCTATTTTGAGTTCATTCGTTTAAATTCATTCATATTTGGGCAATGTATACAGAATTAACAATGAGAAGTAGAATAATATACATACACTCAAATAAGTATATATATATATATAAATACTATAAGATCGAAGTAAAAAGAGAACCCAAACCCACGCATGTAGATTTAGTTATTATTCCATGAATTAATGAATATTTATACAGTCAACAATGTAACAAAAATAGATTTTTCAATTGAATTTTCCTGTTTGTCTAATATGTTTTTACATACCGTTTGTTAGCATTAGTTAATTATAGTGCTGTAGGTTTTACTTTTCTTTGGGGGTGGGGAGGAGAGAGGGAGGTTTCACCAATTTATTATATCCAACTTGGTATATTTTTATTTATAACTAGATAGCATTTTTTTCCCCTTGATTATTATGACATGCGGAAGTAATTGAATTTATAAATCCATTTTTTGAGCTTAAAGAACATTTTTTTCGTGAGTATATTTGGATGGAAATATCGACATATATCTTGTAACAATTTCAAATATCCATAGTTAATTTACATTTATTTTACATAATTTGGAAAGGTGACTTGAGATTGGTCATTATTAAACACGAATAAAGTTTTATAAGTTAAAACAAAGGACTCCTAAGTATCACACGAAGTATGATTCATTAAGCAAAAAGGAGATAATTACTCACGGAAAGCTATGGATGCATATCTCTATGATTCACAAATTAACCTGAGTTGAAAATATTTCTTGATATTGATCCTGAAAACGATATCTAGTCTCAGTTAATTTATTTTTTTGGAACTGATGTTAGCTAGTGATGAAAATTATGTTCAAATCTGAACAAATTTCAACCTAATGAAACTTCTGAACAGTACCTTCATCATATATGAGTGAAAAGCGATTACAAATTCATATAACACGTTCACATATTTAATAGTGATCTAAAATATGACCATCATCATATTGAACGTTCTGTATGTTTAGTAAGACATATGGCTGAGAACATAAAATATAATGGGCTAATTAACAGACATTTTGTTGTAAGGTAAATAGAATTATCCATTAATTATAATAAAATAAGTAACATAAAAGGGAGGAATGTTTGCTCTAAATAACATCTCTTGAAGGTTTACGTTAACATACTCTCATATTTACCTATTGAGATTATGAACCAATCAATGTTAGACCACCATCGAAAACCTGGGAGCACAGGACACCTGTTTTTCCCTAATATGGAACACATCAGAATTAGTTCTCGGGGTTCTAGAGCAAAGCCATGACGAGTAGAGTTGTGTTGGCTGTGCGGTAGTTACCACCGAAGACAATGAACGGACGGTTGGGCACGATCATAGACCGAATGAAGATAGACATTAACATTGTTGGATACCAGCTCAGTGTTCTAGAGGTTAAGCGTTCGTGGGAGAGACCGAAGGTCCTGATTTCGAGTCCCATACATGGGATCGTGAATGAGCACTGATGAGGAATGACATGTGAGGACGAAATGGCTATCCAGTACTTCCGATTTTTCAACGGTGGTCTAACATTGATTGGTTCATGATCTTGATAAAATCTCAACCATCTCTACAACTCTTTACTTAGAATCTTTTTATATGTTAAACATTAAAACAGTAAACATTGTTTGTGGATCTATGAAAATGATGACGCACAATACATATAATTAAAAAAAGAACTTAAATCAATATAATTATAGTTGTAATAATAATTATACGTGTGAATAGGTCAAAATAAGATATACTTCAAATTTTAAAAGAATCCTACATCTTGAGAAAGTTCAACTTATTATTAATTCGTCATTAGCATCTTGGATAACTATATAATTAATCGGAATATGAAACGGAAAAATATCGGTCTAAGGGATGACTATCCTCTGGGAATTATTAATACTACTTTTTATCAAATATTAACTGGTTAGAAGTCTAGATTGGCACTCTATCGCCAACGTAATATAAACAAAAACTACGTACATCATAATAAAAGACAAGTTGGTTTTCTTTGACCAAACACTACATTAAGATTCTATAAAACTATTTTTGGATGTGAATGCCTGGTTTCTTGAAAAAAATCCTTAAAGTTGGAATATCGTTAAAAAGGGTATTTTAATAGTTTCAGTTTGAAAAGGACATGAGGCTTGACGGCCTGTGTTCGTCCTGGAAATGGTGGTCTCTCGGTTGATCCAACTTTCTTTTGAAAGAGTCAACGGATGGAGCCTCAACCACGTGCTGAGGTGGTGAATTCTACTCGTTGATGATTCGATGGGAAAGTCGATAGTCAGCTGACAAGTAATTTGTTCTCGGCTTGTGAACTTTTTTGGAGTGTCCTCGTAAATTTTGTGTTTCGGAAGACAAGAAAAATGAGGGCATTTCAGGTGCAAATTTATCACTAAGCAATTCGAAGACTGTAATCAAGTCGCCTCTAGTTCTGCGATATGACTACGGGAAAAGGTTCAGCTTGGCCAGTCGAACTTCATACGGAAGCTTCGCTATTCCGGGAATCAGCTTGGTTGCTGTTCTATTACCCTTTTCCAAAATGTCGCTGTCTTTTTTTGGCAGGGGCTAGCCGCTTGTATGCAGTACTTAAGTTTAGGACGTACGAACACTGCATACAAAGTCAAAAAAATTTTAGCGTCAACATTACTAAAAGCTCTTCGTACTGACCATAAAGTTCTAAAACCTTTGACGGCTGTTGCACGGCAGTGTGCAGTAGTCTTTAAGTCTTGGCTAACGATGACTCCTAAGTCATTATATGTCTGGACGACAGGTAACTCAGTGTTATTCATCGTGTATGTATCTGCACCTTGATGACCGATATGCATCACAACACACTTGGAAGTATTTATCGGCAACTGCCAGGCTTGAAACCATTCAGATAATTTCTTCAGGTCATTTCGGAGTTCTAAGCTATCACCCTTACATCGTATCGTTTTCCATATCTTGATATCGTCAGCATACAGCAAGACTGATGATGATAGGAGATGAGGAAGGTCATAAATATCATAAATATCTTAATGTCATCAACCAAATGATCATAATTGACCATTATTGTGAAATCTGTAGTACAAATACGAAATGTATCAAAACTTTCACTACTACGTTACATAAATAGTGATAGACAAATTCGAACAAATGATAATTACACAATGGAAGTGTTTTTTTTCCGTCAAGATACTTATTAACTAAACCTTCCTTTTAGTCAAGTGAAGTATTAGATAATCATGGACATTTCAAAAGCGCGTAAATTATTTGAGATATCATTGTCCGGTTCAATAATTGCATTTATAATTATACAAACATGAAATTTAACATTCACCTAACGGTTACGGATTACATCCACATCATAAAAAAGCTTGAATATCATATAGACTTTTTGATAAAAATTTAAAGACATACATAATCAGTGAAATGTCAACATCAATTGTTCATCTTAGCTGTGGTAGCTTACCCTCACAAAGGAGCATAGGACGTCCACAAGAATTCTCCATCCAATCATGTCCTGAAAAATCATCTCCTGCTCTTTCCACTTATCATTCATTCTTTTCATATCTGCTTCGATTTATCAACGTAATGTGTTATTTGGTCTTCCACTTTTCCGTTACTCTTCAGTATTCAAAGTTAGGGCTTGCCTCGAAACGCAGTTTGGTGATTTCCGTAATGTATGTCATATCCATTTCCATCGTCTCTTCCTAATTTCCCAATCACATGGAAACTGGTTTGTTCTCTCACACAGCACACTGTTGCTGATGGTATCCGGTCAATGGATGTTGAGTATCTTGCATAGACAATTGTTCATAATTACTTGTACCTTCTTGATGATGGTTGTGGTAGTTGTGCAAGATTCAGCTCCATACAGTAGAACTAACTGTCTCGACGTTCATATTGAATATTGTGATTTTGATATTAGTTGACAGTTGTTATGATTTCCATATTTTGTTATGTGCTTCTCGTCAGATGTGGACGTTTTCATAATCCACTCGACCACCAGAAGAAAGAAGAAGGGAGAGAGTAAACAGTCTTGTCTGACTCCGGTCCTTACTTGGAATGCATCTGTCAGCTGTCCTCCATGCACCACTTAGCATTCACATCCGTCGTATGAATTCCGTTTGATGTTGACGTTTTTCTTAGGTATATCATAGTGTAGAGGAAGTTTCCATAATGTTCTCCTATCCACACTGTCAAACGCCTTCTCATAGTTAATTGAGTTGATGTATAGTGACGAGTTCCATCCAACTGATTGTTCGACGATGATCCGTAGTGTCGCAATTCGGTCTGTGCATGACCGATCCTTATAGGATCCGAACTATTGATCTCGAAGTTGGGCGTCTACTGCTTCTTCACCAGATTTAGCAACACTCTGTTGAAAACGTTTCCTGGTACTGACAGTAATGTGATTCCTATGTGGTTTTCACATTCTCTCAGATCTTTCTTCTTTGGTATATTGATGAGGTGTCTTTCTTTCCAGTCTGTCTGTGGTACTTGTTCCTCCTCCCTAATCTTTCTGAATAGAGTGTGAAGTCTGCTCACAGCTACTTCTATGTGTGGCTTCAGTGTTTCTGCTGGTATAACGTCAGATCCTGTTGCTTTCCTA